TAAAGCCACTAAGGCGCAAGAGTGTGAAATTGTGGTGAACAATTACGTAGAAGTAAGCGTGTCATAGTGGCTTGAATCTGGTGCAAAGGAAAATAATTTCCTGATCTCAATACACGACACATAGCAGCAGCGTTTTGTCCTTGAAAATAGCATGAATCTCCCCCCGCCCTTTACTTTAGATTATTCCGGAAACGTATATGTTGTAACATTAGCATTTATACAACTTAGCGTGATTTGAGCAATAGAAATTCGCGTGCTGATTGGTCAGACTGGAGGATGCCATTTGATTGACTGTGTGACTGAAGACCAAGCGAAAAACGCTAACTGGTCAATCGGCCGTGGTGTTGGCATGATAAAAGAGGGCTGAAGCAGTGAGAAGCAGGGTGATTTTTTATGTTGGTGTCGTGTGTGGGAATTCAAGAACGGTGTATTGAAAAAGAAGCATTCGGTATTGTACGAGTGACGTCAGATAAATATACACTCATTTAAGTATAGAAATAATAGGAGAAAAAGAAAAACATTATTCAAAAGAGAGAGAGAGAGAGAGCAATAAAAGAACAGAACAAGACAGGCAATGACGATTGACATTACATTGAAATCTTGGAAGATCAAAGTTGATTGAAAATCAAGAGGCCGGAATAGAATAAGCGAAAAGTGCGAAAGAACAAACTGCTAGCATGGAACTTAGTTCCATCTAACCAAATCAACTGTAAAATGATGAGACCTATCATCCAATCTAGTACTGTGCTTAAAGTCAAGGCACCAAGTGGAATGTTCATCGGAACAATTATCATGAAAATATTTATAGAAAAAGCACAGGGAATCTATATTACGGCAGTGGAAAAGTGACTGAAGCCGAGACACAAGATCATGACCGATAATATTGCAGTTTCTTTAGATTTTATCAACAATTACTAAATTCAAAGCAGAAGCACCCAACCAGATATTACAATATTCAATGCAAGGACGAATGGTAGACGTATGTGTAAAGTAGAGTCAGGCGATAAAATTGTCTAGTGGGACACAGTGAACCAACTTTCTTAGCAGTAGACTTAGCAATTGATTCAATATAATCTTTCCACATCATTTCAGCTGAAAACATTAGCCCGAACAGGTTCAATGAGTCACTGTTCTAGAGGTTAGCATCGGCCATGTTAATGAAAGGCAAATGAGGATTTCTAAGACGATTAAAGATGACAATTTTGTTTTGGAGGCATTAAAATTAACAAGCCATTTCTTGCCCCAGTTAACAGATTGTAGTTTGTTTTTTTTTTTCTTAGATCAACAGCCAATTTGTTCTTATGAAGCCGATTAGACTACCAGTAAGACAAAAGTAAATAATTGTACCATCAGCATAGATACTGAGTTGAGAACTGATGTCCTCAGGAAGGTCGCTTATGAAAATGAGAAACAACCTGTGTTCAAGGGACACCCGCAATAATGCAGAAAGATCAAGATGAGTGGCCTTTAAAGACAGCTTTAATTTAGCAACCTGATAAGAAAATGTGATACTTTTTTTTCATTGAAACATCAAATATGTAAAGTGAACATCAACCGACTTCTTTTCCTTGCATACATAATAGGATCATTCCATTTCACTAATTTCCTTATACGTGTCCCCAATTGAGGGATACTTTATGTACTTTTGGTGTGGTAATCGTGATATTAATTGCTAGATCTGCTAACAGACAATCGATATTCTATAATCATTTTCAAATCCTTAATTTCGTTGATAAGAGAGAAAAGTAACGATTACGATGCGAACAGATTTCCTTCATAATCAAACTTGCCCCAATCCTTCAGAAAATATTGCGTTTTCTCTTCAACATTGTAGCTATTATACACAACAAACATACATAAGCAAATGAATTAGAGCTTTTTGACAGTGCTGTTTATGCTAAGGTGATACAATCAGACGAAAATACATTAATGGATATAAGCACCTTATTTCAAAATTGCACACGGAGACACGGGTAGCGATTAATAGAGACAGAAGCAATGTAGTACTTACGCTTAATATACACAATGTGCTTGGAAATGTATACACTTCATCAATCAATAACTGTCAGGGATTTTGTTTGTTTTTTCTTGCTTTTCATGTAAAAACCGGCTTTAGAAATGAAAAGAACTTTCGTTTAAACATTAGACACTTGGACTAAAGTACTACAAAAAGAAGTGAAAACCTAAAGCCGAGAAACATTGACGCTTCTCAAATTATTTTACTTGTTGACTATGTATAATTGTGACGCTTTCTGAGCTAGAAACAGAGGATAATATTTATCTGGTCCTTCTGAACTGGGTTCACTTTCTAACCTAGAAACCTGCGTAATATTAATAGAGAAGGGATTGAGAAAGGCGAGAGAATGAAAACGAAAAAAATGTGAGAGCGTTAATGAGGTAAGAAATCTAGAAAAAAAATGAAAAAGAAAAGCGGTTGAAATAAGAATTTAGCGTAATCAGATGCACTAAAACTACCAACAAGGTCAACCAGCTAGTAAAAAATAATCTAAGGATACATAAAGCCTATAGTCATACATATCTAGGATTTATTATGTATTATAAATTGCTTTAAAACCTCATCAAAATCAAATCTTTAATAAAACAAATTGGTTACAAATTCACTTGCTCTATTAAAGATTGTATCTTTGAAAATTAATTAAAACATTATATAGGATATACAAACAACTTTCAGAGACTCTTCTTTTTTTGTTGTTTTGTTTTTTAAAACGGTATCACCCCATGCAAGGCGGTAAAGCCACTAAAACACAAGGAATTACAGAGTGTGGAAGAATTAGGAACAGAAACATTAATGTGTATATATATATATATATATATATATATATATATATATATGTGTGTGTGTGTGTGTGTGTTTATTGGTTTGTTTTCTTCTATTCTTCCAAAAAAACAGCCATTCTTGGCCGCATGTAGGAAGATCTATACAACGATGCATACCTAATCTATAACTTCGAATAGCCCAAGTGAAGTCTTGATTGGTTGTTGTCTACTGGGGCAACTTATATAATTCACGTCCTAAAGCTAGTGGCAAATTTTTGTTCTAGCTGCGGGCCGAATACTGATCATATTCGGTCGGGTCACCCATCGAAGAAGTCTGTTGTTTATTTAGACCCGAAACTTCTAGTGACATGGGAGCAACAACACTGACGACGCATCTAGATTCAGCACTTAAAGGTGTATTTTAATAATAATAATAATAATGTGCGGGAAGAGCAAAGATTAATCAGGCGGACAGTAGACAGCGATTCACATTGCATTTAAATTTTTGGAGATTTGTATTTAAATTTTTAAAGCTAACTGGAAAGCAAGCAGACGGAAGGAGAGATCCACAAGCGAAAAGTGCTCGACTGTGAATTGATGAGAACTTCATAAAGTCTAGGTACCATAGTGAATAGTTCATCCGAACACTTCCATGAAAGTATTTATAGAAAAGACACAGAGCGAGGCAACTTTACGGTGGTGGGAAAGTAACTGCAGCCGAGTCGCCAGATCAGGACCAATAATATTGCTGATTCTTCTTTGAATTTTATCAAGGGGATCAAGGTAAACAGCAGGAGCACCGGGCCACTTATCATAATTCCAACAAAATTACTGTGCAATAGCGTGTGGCATAGAAACACGAATATTAATAGAAAACAATTCCTTATGAATAACGTAATATTCAACAAAACAAACTGTAAACAAATATTTAAATTTTAGAAGTTATTCCCTATTAAACACAAACAACCAATAATTAACAAAATCAATTATGATCCTGGAACGATCATTCTCTCAGAATTCCCCCGACACCACGAAGTTTTTAAAAGCAAAAAATATTACATTTGTGTGACATCACAACCATTCAAGACGCTAAATTCAAAATCAACACTAATAGACAAACTCAGCAAGTCACCTACCTGACGTGCTTGTGTGAATGGGTGGTACAACGGGGAGAGTTGGCAAAGTTACTAAGGGTCACGAGAGATCGAGGGTTGTGAAAGAGAATAATATACAAACAAATGATGAAGAAAGTGAACAGGCATGAAAATTAACAATCTTAGTTGTCGACACCGTGAAATTACTACAGATTCGACGAGTTAACTATAGCCTGCAATTTTTTTTCCCCGCGCCCTTCTGAACAACTGTTATCTAAGCTAATATCCTGGTTACATCAAATCTTGCCAGGCTTTTGCAGACAGGATTCGGAATATTGAATATTTATGGAGGACACAATAATCAATGCCTTGGAAAGGAGTTTGGTGACTTTCTCTAAATGTAAGATTTTTTTTTTTTACTTATATTCGAGTTGTAGCCGTTTAGCACAAGAATTGAGAAAAGAGTAAAATAAAAAAACAACACAGAAACAGTAAATACAAATTATAAAGCTTAAGATGGAAGATGTTTTTTTTTTTATATATATATTAAATGAAAAAGATTTTTAGATTAATTTATGATTATGTATATTTTTTAAAAATGCTTTGATTGAATCAACAGGAAAATCGCATTCGTTCCTGGGAGAAATTAAATTTAGAAGAGAAAAAGAAATTCAGTTATTTGCTAAAAAAAATTAAGATTTTTTTTTTACACTAGAGTGTACCCAATATAAAGCTCGAGATCCACTCAAAGTAGAGGATTACTGAATAAAGTGCATAATACATGAATCTAGGATAAGGTGCTAACAAGTGAAGATTACGAAAATAAAGAGGATAGATACTGATTTATCCTTAACTTGAAGAGGTCAAGATTGTAACGTTCAGGAAACCACTCACGCGGGAGTATGTTTCATAAAGTAGAAGTTCTTGGGGGAAAAATATTGTCCGAGTAAAACTTTTTCCTCACAATTTTAATACGGAATAAATGAGAGTTTCTTTATGATCTTCGAAGGGAAGTGTAGCAAATAATTTCAGAAAACGAATGAACCTTATTTTGAAGAAACGTTAAGAACATGAGTAAACATTAAAACAAGGATTCTTTGAAAGTTTCTCCTGATAGTAATTTATTAGTTACTTTGTCTGGGATAGAGTGAAATGGGATTTAGGAAAATGGGGAAATTTAGGAGAAGATAGATAGATAGGCGAGAAGACTAAAATAGATAGATAGATATTGAAGAGATTATAAAAAAAAAAAAAAGATAGATAGATAGATGAGATAGATAGATAGATAATGAAGAGACTGAGATAGATAGATAGATAATGAAGAGACTGAGACTGATAGATAGATAGATGAAGAGATGATAATGAAGAGACTGAGATAGATAGATAGATAGATAATGAAGAGATGAGATAGATAGATAGATAGATAGATAAAGATGAGATAGAGAGATAGATAGATGATAATGAAGAGATGAGATAGATAGATAGATAGATGGAATGAAGAGACTGAGATAGATAGATAGATGAATGAATGAGATAGATAGATGAAGATGGATGGAGAGACTGAGATAGATGGAGATGGATAATGAGATAGATGGAAAAGACTGAGATAGATAGATAGATGGATGGATAGAGAGAATGAAGATAGATAGATAGATAGATAGATGAAGAGACTGAGATGGGGAGATAGATAGATAGAGATAGAGAGATGATGAGATAGATAGATAGATGGATAATGGAGAGACTGAGATAGATAGATAGATAGATAATGAAGAGACTGGGATAGATGGATAGATAGATGGAGATAGACTGAGATAGATAGATGGATAATGAAGAGACTGGAGATAGATAGATAGATAGATAATGAAGAGACTGAGATAGATAGATAGATAGATATAGATGAAGAGACTGAGATAGATAGATAGATAGATAGATAGATGACTGGAAGAGAGACTGAGAAGAGACTGAGATAGATGGATAGATAATGAAGAGACTGGGATAGATGGAGATGGAGATAGATAGAGATAGATAATAGATGAGAGATAGATAGATAGATAGATATGAAGAGACTGGGATGGATAGATGAGATAGATAGATAGATAGATAGATGGATGAAGAGACTGAGATAGATGGAGATAGATGGATGGAGATGGATAGATGAATGAAGAGACTGAGATAGATAGATGAGATAGATGAAGATGGGAGATAGATAGATGGAATGAAGAGACTGGATGGATGGAAGGACTGGAGATAGATAGATGAAGAGATAGATAGATGGAGATAGATAATGGAGGATGGATGGATGGAGATAGATGGGATAGATAGATGGATGGATGAAGAGACTGAGATAGATGGAGATGAAGAGACTGAGATAGATAGATGATAATGAAGAGACTGGGATGGATGGATGGATGGATAGACTAGATAGATGGATGGATAGATGAAATGAAGAGACTGGGAGATAGATAGATAGATAGAAGGGAGATGGATAGATGGATAGAAGAGACTGAGATGAGAGATAGATAGATAGATAGAGATGGGATGGAAGAGATAATGAGATAGATAGATAGATAGATAATGAAGAGACTAGATGGATAGATAGATGAAGAGATGGGGATAGATAGAGATGGATGGATGGAAGAGATGGATGAGATAGAGATAGAGATAGATAGATAATGAAGAGACTGAGATAGATAGATAGATAGATAGGATGAGATAGATGGATAGATGATAATGAAGGGGACTGAGATAGATAGATAGATAATGAAGAGACTGAGATAGATAGATAGATAGATGGATGAAGAGACTGAGATAGATATGGATAGATAGATAGATAATGAAGAGACTGGAGATAGATAGATGGATGGATGATGAAGAGATGAGATAGATAGATAGATATGATAATGGAGACTGAGATGGATAGATAGATAGAAGATGAAGAGACTGAGATAGAGATAGATAGATAGATAGATAGATGGAATGAAGAGACTGAGATAGATAGATAGATAGATGGATAGATGAATAATGAAGAGACTGAGATGATAGATAGATAGAGATGAAGAGATGAGATAGATAGATAGATAGATGGATAGATGAAGACTGAGATGAAGATGAGATAGAGATAGATAGATAGATAGATGAAGAGACTGATAGATAGATAGATAGATAGATAGATAGATAATGGATAGATAGATAGATAGATGGATGATGGAGAGACTGAGATAGAGATAGATGAGATAGATGAGATAGATGGATAGATGAAGAGACTGAGATAGATAGATAGATAGATAGAAGAGATGGAGAGAGAGACTGACTGAGATGGAGATAGATAGAAGAGACTGGGGAGATAATGAAGACTGGGATGGACTGAAGAGACATAGATAGATAGATGAGATGGATAGATGGATGGAAGAGACTGGGAGATAGATAGATAGATGGATAATAATGAAGAGACTGAGATAGATAGATAGATAATGAAGAGATAGATAGATATTTAAGAGACTGAGATAGATAGATAGATAGATAATAGAGAGAGACTGAGATAGATAGATAGATAGATAAGATAGATAGATAGATAGATAGATAGATAATGAAGAGACTGAGATAGATAATGAAGAGACTGAGATAGATAGATAGATAGATAAAAATAAGTGTTTGTAATCCTGGTTTCTAGCAGAGCTCATATGCCGATCTCTTTGGTTCAAACAGAGCTCATACGCAGATCCCTTGTTTTGTGATATCAAAGAACACTCGTTGCCACTTTTGTAATGTCAACGAATACCCATTGTCACTTTTTATAATACTCGTTGTAGTAGAGACTTTGTAATCGCAAATGCAACTATAGTAACGCCGTTGAACAATACTGGTGTCAGACGCCTTCGAATAACACTCGCACTAATAGTACTTGCTTGATAATACTCGCTCGAATCGTTATCCCTATCGTGATGATATTCACCTACCGCCCCACGCGGTCGGATGTGGCACAAGGCCGAGTTTATTGTGGGGTATCCGATCCCGTAAGCTCGGGCAAAAATTCCTCGTAGACACCGTAAAAAACGGGGTCGGGTAGCTGTCTACAACCCCAGACGAGACTGCCCTTTGACATAGCCTCGTCTGGGCCCCTCTCTGCCCAGAGGCAGAGAGTTCGACAAGCACACCTCCGAAGTAATCCGTATCGTGATCACGTAGACACCGCGCTAATCCCCATATATACATTTCCTATACAATCACGTGATCTACTTATTCAAAACGGGATCGCCTGTGTTTGCTCTCTAGTGATCTGTGTTCAAACTCTAGTGTCGGCAGCGACACTTTGTTCCTATATAACACCTCCCCTTTGAAATGACTTCATCTTCAGCTTTGGTTCACTAGTTAAAAATTCTGTTGGCATTCCTTTTCTTTTGCCATAAACCCTTGATTCAACAATTTCTGGTAGCGTGGCTATGTTAAACGTGTCATACAGAATTTCCATTGGTACCTCTTTACGGGAACTTTTTAAATCTGTGAATCTACGTTTTAACTTATTAAGATGTCGCTTATATTCCCACTTTTGTCTCTGTACCAGGTATGTCCTTTTGTCGATCAGGTTTTTTTATTACGCAATCTTCCCAGAATTCCTCTCCGCGTTACATCTTAACAAATACCTTATCTCCAGGTTTGAAGTATCTATTTGTATTGTTATTTCTTGATGTTCTTGCCTTGCGTTTTTGAAATAACTTATTGAAAACGGACTTAATCTTCTTTGTCTGGAATGTCGCCTACAGAGTTAATATTCGCAGTGTTCAGGTTTGGTGTTATTCTGTAAACACTCAGAAATTGCTGAATCATTACTTCATCTGTTTCCTCTCCCTCAAACGTTTTTAGTGCCCTTTTAACCGTTTTGCTTGTCCGTTTGATCTTGGGTGATAAGGGGGAGTTGTAATATGTTCTACTGCTAATGAAAAAAAAAAAACTTAAATTCGCTATACGTGAATTGAGTCCCATTATCTGAAACGATAGAGTCAGGAACGCCGAATCTTGCAAAAATCTCGTGTAGGAAATTTATCGTTACCGCAGTAATCGGTCTTCTACATTTTAATATTTCTGGCCATTTAGTGTAATTATCAACTACCATTAAATAGTATGTCCCGTTTAACGGTCCTGCGAAGTCTATATGCATTTTGAACCATGGCATATCGGTTTGGGGCCAAGGTTGAATTTTGATAGGTAATGCCTTCGCTGCCAGAGCACAACCACTGCATGATTTCACTAAATTTTCGATATCTTGATCCATTTTTGGCCAGTACTTATAAAATCTTGGTTTCTAACCGGTCTCATATGCCATTTTCTCGTAGACAAATCTGCATCGACTTCGGACCCCGAAGAAAGAAAAATGTCATAATTTGTCAGAGTTAGCATCTGGTTGTTAAGCATTAAATTTAAATTGCTTTTATATAGAATCCCATCACTTCCTGTTTTCAGTTATCTCAACTCATTTATCTCCCTTTTCGAAGCTACCTTTGCACCAGGAAAGGAAAACGGAAGTACTACGAATGTTTTTCTTTTGTCTTTCAAATTTTATTTTTTAACAAACTTTGAAATCATCGGACATGTTTATTTATAACACATGACAATGAATGGGGATAACATTTTTTTCTGCAAACCGTCACCAAAATTAAGTTCAGAAACATTCAGAAAATGAAAGCATTTGTATTTATCAATTCACTAGAAGCGTTGCCCGTGCTTGATTCAAAAATCGTACGACTCATACAGCAATCGCTATCTTTATTTTTGCCCTTCCTTGCCTTTAAAGGAATGCCCTTTGCCGTGCTGATGTTGCTACATGCCTTACTTCTTGCCTATCTCACACTGCGAATTTTTTCTAAGCTCTATACTAAACATTAAATCTGTTACAAAAAAAGAACTAAACAAAATGAACACAAAACAATCAGTTATAAAAAAAGGACTCGTAACTGGAAAATTCTGCGGAATCAGAATCAACCTTGAGTTTAAGCAAGTGAATGAACACACAACGATCAGCTTTAAAAAAGGCCTCGTAACTGGAAAAACAAAATGAAAAAAGAATGTTAACAAATACTTTTTCACACCCAACCCAGTTCTGCGGAATCAGAATCAACGTTGAGTTTAAGCAAGCGAATGAGCCAATTGGAGTAAAAAGCCATGCAGATTTAAATTTTTCCCACTTGTGACGAATGCAGCTATAGATTTTTTGCATGCTAGTATGCTAGTTAACATTCATGTCAGTCAGCTGTTGGCTCTCACACTGGCCAATAGAATCTTTCTGCCTATTCGTGGCAGCCAGCTATAGGCTCTCACTCTGGCCAGTAGAAAATGGCCGCAAACTACATGAAAATTGCTGTAGAAGCATGAAAAAATCGATTATTTCCACTATCGATGGGAGTTGGGAAATGCAAAGTTGGTCTTGGCCTTCCCGCTAACTTGGAGCATATGCATGTAGATTTTGGTGCAATTCCTTCGAAAATTGCGGCCGTGCATTCGTTACACACACACACGCACACACATCCTGCCTTTTATAGATAGAGATATCAGAACAACCAACCATAAACCCGAAGTCTCTTCTCGTAATGAACAACCCGTAACCAAATACGCACACATGTCGATTGTTTCTTGAATTTGACTGGAACAAACTAAACAAGTTGAAAAAATAAGTTGTTGGGACAGGCAATGTCAAGTTAATCGCCATTTTTAACATACAATTTACCTTCTGAGGACGAAGCAGAAATGGACAATGAGGGATTTTTTTTTTTTTTGGAACAAGCAAAGGCATAGATTTTGATATAATATTGCTTCCAATATCGATATGGGTCTTTCAGAATAGATTTTTCATTTCGGATGTTTGTTTTTTTTTCTCACAACGTTTCATTGCTGTAACTAAGGAGAAGAATATGAATGAAAGAGAGAGTGAATAACACGACTTCGTCTCAGAAGTTCAGGTAAAAATTACTGTCATTTTTTCCTTACTATAGTGTGTTTTTTTATGTGTGCATATATACGCTTCTCTAAGGCATCAAAGACTTGAACACATCAAATTAAGAATCCAGACCAATAATCAGAGAAACGAGGAAACAGATTTTTGTCTAAATTATTCCCGGTTAACTGAAGAAGTGCGAACTCACCTACCCACCTCCAACAAATTAATTCTTATTGATTGAGTATTCACCAAGAAAAACACGCATCTCTTATGCAAAATTAGATCGAAAGGAAAAAAACTAAAAAACATCATTTGTTTTAAATTTTTAGAAAAGCAGCCAATTTTCTTGCGCTGACCGACGTTTATTTTGTTATGCAATGTTTGAGAATCAATAGAAAAAGTCTATCTTAAGTCTGTATTGAACAGGCAAAAATAAGAGGGTTTTAAGTGACATCAAGAATTTCTTGAGACCCCAGAACTTTTCTAATTAAAGCTGGTGTAATTACCTACCTAGTGGTTTACGAAAAACTAACAACTAATCTAACCAATCATCTTATTAGGTAGGATTTTGTAAACAGATATAAAAACTCATTCACTTTACATACACATATACACATACATATGTTATAAAATGGACTAAGTCCGACAACTATTTTAATATTTTCTGTTTATACGTTATTTTTTATAGATACAAATATTCAAGTAAATGATCTCTTTATAATAAACAGTATTAACAACATTTACCGGCCTGAATGTCTGAGAAAGCTCAAATATGTGAAATCGAACCTGCATCCTACACCGAACCGCCATATAGCCTGACGTGCTATACTATTTAGCTACAGAGGAAGCTTCTGGTTAACAAGGTTAAATCATTGTTTTTAAACTACAAAATTCCCTTGTTTTCTCTCGAAACGATCGTATCTTAACGTAAACAATTGACATAATATGAAATAGACTAAGTCTGACAACTATTTTAATATGCGATACAGTGGTTCCATGTAGGATACAGGTTCTATTCCTGTCGTAGGACACATTTTCTTTGAGATTTCTCGGACATTCAGGCCGGTAATTATTTATTATAAACAGAGCATTTACTTAAATATTTTTAGCTAAAAAAATAATGCATAAACAAATAAGTAGCCTGATATTTAGTTGTAAGCTGAATTTCATCTGAAATTTTCACTGTATAATATTCGATTGACAAAAGGCAATTACATTAATATTGCATAAAATTTTGGCTTCGAACTTATTGATGTACCTACATGTGATTATATATATATATATATATATATATATATATATATATATACACACACACTGTGCGATGGGTAAATTGTCACTATTTTATATTTTTAATTCCGCACATGTGCGTTGATTTTAATTTTGTCCATTGCACAGTATAACAGGGTCAGTTGGGCACCGTCTGTGAGAAAAAGAACACCATGACGAAATTCACTGTCAGAAATTTGGAATGGGCATGCTGTACTGTTTGGCATTCACACCGGAAGCTCCAATACGATCAGTTCGTGTGTCAATTTGAGTATAGCGAGGAGATTCAGAAAGAGTTGGCTGAGTTTAATGGTGATTACGAAGAAGTTTTGGAGTGATTTCTAGTGATGGCAATGTTATATCTCCAGATATCCTCGCACAGGTCTTACCACGGAGATCTACATTAAGTGCTGTGAGGAGATAGTGCTACCCTGGGCCAAGAAGGTTGCTGCTAGAACACCCTATGTCTGGCAACAGGACTCTGCACCATGGCACACAAGCAGGAGAACACAGTCATGGCCATCAGACAATTTCTGCGACCACATCACACGTTACATCTTGCCACCTAACACTCCAGACTGCAGCTGCTTTGATTATGATGTGTGGGGCGCAGTTGAGCGAGAGATCAATAACCTTTTCTAAGACGAAAGATAAACTGAAGGCAAAGATTATGGCAGCATTCACCAACTTAGACAGGGAGACCGTCCATAAAAGTTGCAGGAGATTCCGAAGTCGTCTTTTGTGTAGTTTTGGTCAATATATCTGTTAAAATGAGATGTCAGTATTATTTTTATTGTGCGTAATTTCGATAGATAGATAGATAGATAGATAGATAGATAGATAGATAGATAGATATAGATTCACATGTGTGTATAAAATATGTCTTTCCACAGTTGATGGTGGTTGAATATGTTATCAGTACCTTGAATGATCTAGGTGTTTTTCAAAGATTAAAAATGCTGTTGATTCTGATTTCTGTAAAGTTAACATTTACATCCGTATTAAAAAAAATATTTTCTTGGATAAAATTTCAATAAGTTGGATTTTCCTACTTCTATTTAAGAAAGAATGACGCTACAATTCAAAGTTCCCAGTAAGTATTTTCTTAAGAACTAAAAAAGAAATTTACTTCATTTATTTAGCTTGTTTCAATTCGTCTGAACTTTAAAGAACTTACTTTTAATAATTAATATCATTTTAAACAAATAAATAAATTTATGAATTTGACGAAGTAGAGAATCATTTGTTTCAACAAATTATATATACATTTTTCAGGAAAATTCAAAGGCAAAATTGTTGAATAATTTTCAGACCCCATTTCAAAATCTTACGTTATACTATAGAACGATTTTTCTCCAGAAATTAAAAGGTTTCCATGAATATTTAATCATTTATATTTATTTAGTAGTCGCGATGATCCATTACATTCATTTATGTGCTAATACCCTTGGGAAAGGTATAAATCCTCTTCTTCTCCCCCCCAGCTATGGTTAAAGAGCAGGATAGACCTGATTCTATAGCTTTGGATGGCAACTGGTCTACCACAGAAAGAAATGGCAACCTACTGCGACAAAAATCTGCTTTGTCAGTCATGTATCGAAAGCTATATGATCGCCTGACTGATTGTTAGAAAACGCTATATAACATCTGATAGACCTCCCGCTTCATTAACTGACATTGTTAAGAGAATCTATGTTTATGAATGACCCGAGGTCTGGGTCTTTTAGATAAGAATTCAAAGAACTCTTTGATGTGGTCGGATGACCTTACAAAAGGAAGTTCTTCCTCCTGGTATTCGAAATTCGTTGGTTGACGACAAAATTAAAGCGAGTTGGTTGGCGAAGTCAAATGTTGTAGCAATCTGCTTCAGAGCACTCCATTTATTACTATTTGCTGACCTGACATGTAAACTATACGACAAAAATATTCATGTTTTCCCAACAGACAGCAACCTTATACCAGTTATGTTATCTAATATTGTTTGTTTCTCTCCTGACACAGAAAACCGAATTTGACTTCCTTAAACGAACCAGATGCTTAATTTTTTTTTTTTTAATTTCTTTCGTCATACATAAAAACAAACAAATCTTGTTGCATTCCTCAATCATTTTATACTTTCATTGATGATCTACAACTGATTTTACAAATACTTGCAAAACAAAGATTTAAAAAAAAAAAAGAAAAATTAGAGACGCACTTAAGGGAAGAGCTGTTGAAATCAACTGCTCATTCCAGATATTCTCTGGGTGCGTTTGTATTTGTAGCGTATTAGTTTTGTCAAAGTGACTTCTTCTCTTTATGGAGCTGATTCTTGACAAAGGTGATGGGAATTATTTCAAGGTTTTTAAGGTTCATGGAGCCAAAGTGGAATTAAACAAGTGGTTGCTGAATTTTTTTTTTAATTGGGGGGTGGGCGCGGTGAAAAGCGACCAAGCATGATATATATATTTTTTGTTTTTTTTTGTTTTTTTGCTAGTCGATTTAAACAGAAGTGAATTTATCAGACTTTTGTCTGTTATCGAAGTGGCCTTGAATCAAATTTTTTTTTTTTTTTTTTTTTTACAAAATTACATAAATGGTCGGGGAGAGAGAAAGAAGAAGAAGAGGAGAGAAAGAAAGAAGGAAGAGGGAAAGAAGAGGAAGAAGAAGAAGAAGAGGAAGAAGAAGAGGAGGGAATGTTTCCCGGGCTTGTTGTCATTCTTCATTAACAGTTTTTTCCCTGTGTTTTTAACAACCGTGATGGAGCGTCAACATGTCTTAACTTTAGCTTTGTCGAAAATTAACGATTTCAGATTTATCAATAAGTTTTAGTTTTAAAATTGCTAATGTTCGTTATCGAATTTTATCAAATTGCATTGAAATAGAAATATACAATAAAATGTTTGTGCCAAATGCACAATGATATTATTTTCTGTTTTATTATAAAATCTGTTTTTTTTTTTATTTTATTTTTTAGTTGTATTGCCCAAAAAATTTTTAAAGGATTTTAAACAGGTTGAAATTTAAAATAAGTCTTAACGTAAGCTTACCACTTCTCTTAAAAAGTTTATCCACAAAATCCAATTTTCTTCACTGATGAAGAAGTGTTTTTGTTTTACTTTGTTTTTGTTTTTTAATCGCTTATTTCTTTTTTGTGGGTGGGGGTGAGCTGTGTTCATTTTTTTTTTCACTTTCTATTACGCGAGTTTAATTTCTACAATAATTTTATCTTCATTTAGCAGTCTAAGAAAAAAAAAACAAAAAAACGAGAAACACCGAATCATGACGTCGTCAATCCATTCCAGAAAAATGGAAATGACGCCTACGTAACATTTTCATAATAAACGTAATTTTACTGTAATTTCACATACCGACAAATAATTCGAGTATAATAATTCTTAAAAACAAATTACACAGAATTAACCTCGCGTGTTCGCGCGCACGAAACCGCGTATGTTCATTTTGGTGGGGGGGGGAGGAAATAAAGACATTGCAGTTTCACACTGGCACGGAGAAATAAAGCATTTCAGAATATTTTTTTGTTAATATAAATTAACAAAAAAAATATTCTGAACGCGCGTCGATGCGTTTCGCAATTTTTTTATTGGGGTGGGGAGGGAGGAAAGAAAGTTTACTCTGGTACTGCCAAAATGAAATAACAAGGAAAAAAAAATTACACCTTACGACACCCACCAAAATTCCATTGCACGCGTGTTTGTGCGTATATTTTCATGTACCATCATATCTAAATATTTTCAAATTAATTTTCTGAGATTTAATCTTTAGAGGATTTGGTTTACAATGGATTGGCTTGAATTTGGAAACTGATATATAGATGTTTAAAGTTATTGCGGAAAATACTGTTTGAATAATTATCCCGGGAAAATATTTTTATATTGTTATTAAAATAAAATCGTGGAAACAATTATATTCGCGAGTTTAGGCGGAAAAAAAAGTAAAAAAAAATATTATGAAACACTGTTGATTCGGACCTAATTTTAGATATTTTTTTTTCTTAGCGGTAATTTGAAGATTGTCTAGTGAGCAGTTATCAAATGTGTTTAGTGTTACTCATTTCATTACTGTTATAAGGTTTTCAAGGTTTTTATTTTAATGACATTCTTAGAGAGAGAGAAAGAAAAGGAAAAAACATTCAATAACAAAAGTGGACCAGCTTTAAATTGAGAGACACGCTGGGTGATTGATTAATTAAAAATTATTTGGATGTTTTATTTATTTATAACCAATTCTAAAAAATCTATCTGAAATATTCTGAATGAAATAATGAATAACTTATATTGCAGGTGCATAAAAAAAACAAGACTTAAAAAAAAAAAAAAAATATCCACGTCTTTTTAACGTTACATGTATCTGTAGAGGAGTGCGTTAGGAGAAAAAAAAAAGGCAGAGATGGGTTTTTTTTATGTTCTTTATTTTGAATTCGCATTTTCTTTTTAATTCAATTTTTTTTTCCACAAATATTTAACCCCTTTTTCTCCTTCGCTTCCTGAAAAGATTAATCCTTCCCACTGCCATCGGCTATTGTCCGACCTTGTTTGTTTTATTTTGTTCCGTCAACTAATGATTACAAGGGGGAGGGTGCTGAAAGGTTATCAGTCCGATCCACTTGCCAAAAACAGTATTTCAATGACTAGACATAGGTCGGATCGTGTTTTTTTTTTGTTCTGTTAAAGAAACCTGAGTGGTGAAGTCAAGGGTATTGAATTTTGGTGTATGCATCGATTAGTTTTGGTATGCAGGTTTCATCTCTCGAGGTTATTCCTTGCTGGTTGGACCGAGAGCTTTTCAACATCACATCGTTATGTTGTGGGAAGCACATTTTAATCGGCATTTAAAAACAGAGTTCATCTTTCAAATGAATAATTGGTGAGTTAAGAAAAGTTCAATAACCATTCTCATCTGTTTTTGCATTATTTCCCCAACTTGCAGCTTTCGCAAAATATTTTCTGTAAAACTAAGTAACAGACATAGAACACACCTCATAGGACAGTTAAGCAGAAGACACTCGATATTGACTAATTTAAAAATACTAGTAAACAAGTCAGTTTAAAAATCGTATATTCACTAAGAAAAGAGTGAGTACGCTTGTACTATGCAGAAATTTATTTACGTTCTTGTCTGTAACATCATTACGGTGCGATAAAGCGAATATTCTTCTTCTTGTCTTAGTGGTAACAGTTCGCTACGTTTTAAGCAGACGATAATTGCTACTTGACTTGACCTGGCACAGGGCCATAATTATAGAGTGCAACAACAATGGCTTCACTTATGAATTAATGCACAGGTAGAAATTTTAAAATAAAAATAACTGCCTCGATGAATACAGTTGAATGTGGCATGTAACAAAATAAACATTTACATCCGAATAGAATTCTCCCATGTTCGTGAGAAGATCGAAATGGCCTAACATTTAAAAGAGAATCAACGAATAGATTTCAAATTTTTGTGAAAGGAGTTGGTACTCACACCGCATTTGTGTCATATCGTTCCCTAAAATCAATGAAGTTTAGAACCAAGTGTTACCCGACCGTATACCCTTGATTTTAAGTTCCTTGTAAATTTAAACCTGGCACTTAGAGAGAGGAGATGGGCACTGCCAGGTAACACTAATTACCCGAGAAAAACTATGATGCTACACATCTATGAGATCTGAATTTTGTGTGAACAGGTCCTTGTTTAGTACAATATGGAAAACAGGAGGGGGATGTCGAAGGGCTTTCGGTCCGACCCACTTCTCAAAATCTGATCGAGAATTTTAAAGGGAAATCCCTTCCTGGTCAGACTGAGAAATCTTCAGCATCAACCTCATACACAAATAATAATAACAAATTTAACAGACATGACGACGTACCAATAAAGCTACAATAAAAAAAAAAAAAATTTAAAAATGCAAACGATAACTGATGTAAAAAATACGAACCACTACACAAATATTTTAAGGATCCTTACAGTTGTTTTCACTTTTCACACACGAAAAAAATATGTATTTTTAGTAAAACGCACTACATGCGCGTTAACAGTAAAGTAAACATACTGTCTACACTGTATTCTGCACGTATGTCGTGTGTACACCAAGTGAAAGTATTCTTCGTGCGTGTACACACACCAGGATTTATTACATCGTTACGGTTAATTTCACTTCCGTTAGAAATAAAATAAATAAAGTATGAATTCTCCTGATTTTCAAAGCGAAAAAAAGAAAAAAATTCAAAATTGATGTAATTAACAATCCTATTCCTATATTATCCTTCCTAACTGATTCTGTCATGAAATTAGCACGGAAATTTTTTTTACATTTGTAAAAAAAAAAAAAGAAAACAAAAAAAGAAAACAAGTTTCTATATATAACGCAAATTTAGACAATATACGCTCTTCCCGAAACTTCACGTCAGAAGTTAATATTGCTTGCTTACATTACGTTGGGAAACACACGGCATTTAACAAACAGGCTGCCGTACGATAAAAACAAACATTTGCAACTTTATTCACAATACAGACACGTGAACTTTGAACACCACTGAAAATACGAAGAAAAAAAAATTAAATATTTTTTCAACAAAAGCGCCCATGCTTCCAGTTTTCCTGGCCAGATAGTTACCACTTTAAAAAAGAGTGCAAAGGTTTTTTTATGTCTTTAACCCCAGCGAAAACTACTAATATGTCCCCATTTAAATTTAGAGACTAAACATAATAAAGATTTGACAAAAAAAAATGTTTAATGCTACAACCCAAACATGTTCCGCATTTCGGTTCGTTGTATTCATTCATCTTTCTTCTAGTAAAAAGGTAAGCATCACAAAAATGAGTGACGAAGAAAATATGGAATGGAGGAAAAAAGTTTGAATCGATAGATGGATGGGGAGAGAGAGATGGGAGGATTGAAGGAATGATTGATTCAGATGTTGGAAATGAAGATAGAGAGAAATATCGCAGATGTGTAGGCAGAGGGTAACAGCGTGTCAGGGATGTGAAGCGTCCCGTCAAAGGTAAATTTAACAGGGGGTGGGGGACATCAAATGCCAAAAATAGATAGGGAGGTTTTTTTGGGTTTTTTTTTGGTGGGGTGGATTCATGTAACTAAAGAATTATCACATTATAAACCAATTTTCAGATAATAGGATTTTAAATCAAATTTAGTTTTAATTTCACAATGACACGTGAATGAATGTACTAAAACTGGCAAACATTCAAAAACAAAATTTCGAGAGAGGTGATCTACGAGTTCAAAATCTATGGTATGAAGAGAAGAAATAAGGAAACAAACAAATGATATTTACAATACAAGAGAAAAAAAAAGAGAGGACACATAACACACACACACACGTTGGATATTAATTTAAATGAAATATTATTTGAAAAATCAACCACAGTTATAAAGTCATTGTTTACATGCGGAAAATAACGCATCCGATTTGAAAACTCCAGAGCAAAAGTTAATTTAAAAATGAAACGAATTGACGGCGTTGTAATTTACGAAAAAGAAAATTCAGTGACCCATACATATTGTGAATAGTTACAATTCTATTAATTACCTGAATTTTTGTAGATATTTTTTTAAAATGCAGGTGCACTTGGCACAAAGGAATTTTCCATTTTATTTTCCTCGATGTTTATTTCTCAAATTTAAACAAAGTTAAAAATTTCAAAGCTATATCTCCGTTCTACATGACGTAAGTTAAGAACATTTTCAATGTTTTTTGTTTCAATTCTTCTTTCTAATTAAACAAATTTGATAAAAATCGATTGTTTTTTGTTATTGCCTTTTTCTTGCTATTTAGGTGTTGATTACGAAAAATCTTAAGAAAAATATTTATTACTATTGAATTTGACGACTTTTTTGTTAAAGAAACGAAATATTTGGAAGTCTTTATATGACAACAAAAGTTAGTCCATCGGCGAACCGAATACGGAAACCTTGATCTCTGGCTTCAATGATTCTCTCTTGTGAAACAACTACTCTGTCATATTTACTACAGTTCGACCGTTTTTTTGTTATTTTTTTTTTTTTGTTTTTTGTTTTCTTTTTTTAGGGTTTTTTTTTTTTTTTTTTTGCCAAACATGCTTGTCTTGCAGATAAGTACCACATGGTTATGTAATAGCATGCTGAACTTTTAGATTATGACTAGCGAGTTCGATACTCATTAGGGGTATCACCATACTTTTGAATTGGTCACAAACTAAACTAAACACTAAAAAGCCACGAAAACTACAGGGACGTGGATGGCCAAAGTATATCACTAATAATAGCTAAGTAAGTACAAAAATCTTATCGTGAATATTGATAATATTGTAAAATTATGATGCTGATGTCGATTTGTTTGTAAATATTGATGATCGCTTTTTTTTGTTTTTGGTTTGTTTTTTTTTCGGTGGTGGGGGAGGAACAAAACGGTAATAATTTCTACTCTTTGATGAGTGTACTGTAGCTAGCATAACTAGAAAAACGCAGACGAAGGCATGGAAATGGGTGGGGATTAGAGACGTCACTTAAATTTGAAAGTTAGTGAAAATGAGAAAAGTACTTACGTAAATCCGGTGAAATTTCGGGACAGTAAACTTTCATTCGTCTCAAGTGTGTAATATCCCACATTGATTTGTACAAGTTAAGCATAGGTATATTCCGTGATTTTAAATTAATTTGGTCAAATCCAAGATCCAGATCTTCACCGTTGTGCCTATTGTCGTATAAATCGTCATCGGAGAAGTTTCGACCTGCAAGATTTACCATACTCGTGCGGTTTTGAAATTGGGTATCGTGTAAAGAGAGGTTTTGCTGTAAATGCAGTGATAGTTGTTGTTGATGCTGATTAAGTGGGACCCTTTCGCCCCTGGGAGCGTGTGACAGCGGGGACCCACCGTCTGCTAGCAAACGGTTATTTTTAGTGTTATAGTCATTATTAGAGGACGACAACATTGATGAATGTAATGACGATGAGGATGACGATAAAGAAGAAAGTGAAGCCACATTAGCGTGGAAACCTCTGGCAGTGACGGCCGCCTCCCGTAGATTTAGACGCGTTTTGGAGATGTTTGAAGCCAACCTGATGAGGGATGCGATCCGACTAACATAGATATCATTAAGCAATTTCTGACTCCCTAAACTCATGCCGAAAAGAGAGTTGTGATCCGCTACAGGGTTCTTCATTCTCCGGCCTGCCTCAGCGCCCCCGTTAACTCCATGTCTACTAAGGGCCAGCTTCCGTATAGCCTTAACGTAGCGTCCTCTGTTGTGTACCACCAAAATCTGCGAGAGGGTCACCATTACCAGGGTAATAAGGACGAGCAGAAGCAGTAAGGGCGGTATGTCTTTCTTTTTGAACATGCTGTGCTTTGTAGTGAACACTACAAAGACGACAATAACAGTGGTCCCAACATCAACAACAACAGAAGCATCCGGAGTGGTCGATGTCCTCTAAATGGTAAGATCAGTTGGTAAAGAATGTTTCTTCTTGGAAAATAATGTATGGGATAGGAGAGAAAGAAAAACTCAAGAAAAAAAAACAAAACGTAAAAATCGAAGAGGGAAAAAGAGGCACTGTTCGTCCTTTGTTATTATTGTTTTTTTGGTGTGTCACCGAACAAATTTCCGATTGTCCACACTTAGGAAGGCAGCGACGGAGACGTGGGGAACTGGTCGCGGTTCCAAACCCGATGGACATTTTATAGGGCCCGCCTCTACAGTCGTCCTCCAGCTGTGTACTATCGCTAGCAGCACCATGGCATATCGTGGTGCCTCGTCCGTATCTGAGAATCGAGCCTCAATACGTGATTTTTCCTCCTCACCCTCTCAATTCATTCTCTTGATCTTTACTCTTCTCTCTGCGTTTCTGTCCCCTTCATTCACTCTTTTCTTTCACTTTCTTTTTCGATCACTCTCTATGTTTGTAATGTACGCACTCTCGCAATGTACAGCGAACGAATTTTACTGATGATTACTGGTTGGCGGTGGTGGAGTCTCACAGAGTAATTGTAATTACTACTACTACTAGAGTTACCACTAAGACTGCTACCGATACTACTACTGCCGCTTCTATGGCTAGATCGGATCACTACAACTACTATCACTGTTATTGTTGAAGATTCAAAACACTTGTAAGGTCTTGGCGCGCATAGTTTGGCTTATTTTTTTAATGCCAAAGTCTCCATGTTTTGCCAAATTATTTTATGCTTCTGAAAAACTATTTAACTATCGTTAAACATTTTTGCATTTGCTTTTTTGTGTGTGCGTCTATGTATTCGTACATTTTTAAATGGTTTCTTTAATCCAGCATTATTTCTTATTACTAAAAACGCTAATTTTAGTAGATTCATCTGTCAAAAGTTGTTATTTTCTTCTTTAAAAAAAACAAAAACAGTGAAATTAGTAGCAACCGGCCTAAATCGAGAAATCCCGTTAAAAAGAATAATTGCGCATAAACACTTCTCAATATCCCGCTTGTTAATTTTACAGTTTAAGGAAAAATAAAAAAAAAAAATAAAAATAAGGATAGCATCTCAAACACGTGTACTCATTAAAATAATGTTTATACAAGAAAAAAAATACACACACATACATATATACACACACGCTGGCATGTGCACACTAAAATACGTCTTGTCATCTTTTCTTTTTTGTTTCTTTTATTTAACTAAAAGCGACTACAAATGCTTTCATAATTTAGTTTTGTTTTCATTCATCATCAGTTTATGTTCAAGCGTTTTCGCGGTCAGATCACGTTGAAAACACTGGGTGTCGTCCGATCACCGAAGTTAAGCAGTGTCGAAACCGGTCAGTATTTAGATGAGGGGGGGCAAACTTGGGAAAGTCGGGTACTGTAAGATACTTTTCCCAATTTGAAATAGGGTTTAACCCATAATGAATCGATAAAAAAAAAAGAAAAAAAAAAAAAAAAACATTCGTTTGCTGTCGTGGATTGTAAAAGCAGAAAATGCCACGACACCAAAAGGATGCACTTGCGGTTAAAAATAATAATAAAAAAAAAACACCACCATAGTAATTCCTGAAAATAAATTACCCACCATCAAGTAAAGGAAACTCGAGCAAGATAACTGACAACAAAATGAGAAATGACTAAGACGTGTTTTGCAGCTTAATGAGCAAAATACCAAAATGTACGCCATTTTCAAGAAAAATGCAATTTTTATTAGTATTCATTATTTTTTTTAATCATTCATCAAGTTCATTAACGGAAAATAAAGTCCCACGTGGAGGGGTTGCAGATTTGTTTAATTAATAAAACTAGACTGTCTCTACACTTACATTTAGGAAATAAAACTATTCGCATCTAGAAAAAATGAAAATACAAAGGGGAAAGTCATATAATCGACCCGACTGTAATACTTTACTTTCTTTTTTGTGGGTGTGTAACGGGGATTCAAAAATGTGAAAAGAACTATTTGCCCGATTCTGATATTGTTACAGAGAAAGGATTAAAAAAAAAAATTGGATGAAACGTGTTGAAACGAATGCAAAAGAACTGTCATCATGTTTTTTTTTTTTTTTATTGTTTTCTTTCACCCCACCCCATACAGACCTATTTTGGAATTGGGAACTGGAGAAATCTGTCAGCCAATTCCTCTCACCCCTCATACACTTTAATTAAAAGCATTCTCTATTTAGCGGTTTGGCTTTTCTAGAGAATGTTGCCTCTACTAAATAATGAAAATTGAACAAAATTTCAAGCCGTCGGTTTTCCACCTCCTATATATAATTTTAATTTAAAATAAAGTTTTTGTTCGGTAAAGAATAAAATGAAGGTAAAACGATAGTTGATCACTTGCTGTTCCGATTTTAATTTTTTTTTTTCTCCTCCGCAGACTCCAGTTGTGGCTGACTGGGGTAATTAGGAGTGGGAAGAGTTGAAAGGGTCCCCTTCACTATAAACAACATTTTTTAAACTGCTTTCCCGCCCATCGGCACAAAATGTGAACATTCTTTAAAAAACACTACTAAAATTATCGGCGACCTTTTTTTGAGTTGAGTCGCTTATCAACGAAAATATGAAAGAGGGTAGATTTGAAATTAGTATCTGACATTTGATCGAGAATCAAGTCAGAATTCAAAGATTCAAAACGCACATGGATGATGAGGATGGAGAATAAAGTTAACCGGGCGGACGACCCCGTCACTTGTCCTGTTTATAAGTGCAAAAATATAAGCAAATGTTTGATAGAAAGAAAGAAGAGAGCCATACTTTCATTTTCAGCGTTTCTGAGAAAGAGGTTACGAAAGTCATAAGAGAACAAATTCTAAATGCAACATTTAAAGTTTGGTTTTCTTAAAAACTTCACTCTCAGTCCATCCATGACTAACCAGAACACAACACACCCTACTTAATACGTCATATCAAATAATAGTGTGTGCGTATGCACACACATTATATATATATATATATATATATATATATATATATATATATATATATACACACACACACACACACACATTTGTCTGTGTGGCTCAACTGATAAAAACGTGTTCTCTTTCCTGTATATGTGAACGTATTTTATCTCCACATGTCTGATATTTATCGAAGTCAATATTTCACCACCTGTAAAAACTACTAAGGAATTATCAAGACTTCGCACAATATGAAATGATTTTTGTGTAGATTAACAAAAATATACAATTTTATTTCTCTTGCAAATATTGTCGCAACTTAATAAAATAATTTTTTTTAAAAAAATGTATTTAGATCATCAATCTGGCAGTTCATGACTTTTGTAATGAATTCGATCCGCACTGGGTGTCTCACTATGATGGCTTTGTGCTATACGAAACTAAGTAAAAAAACATCTGATTAATAAAAATTATAATATTAATGCGGCTCTTCCATACCATGTAATATTATTCATACTTTTTAAAGATTCTAACAGCTAGCCTGCAAAGATTTCAGAGTCATGTTAAAAAAGAAAGAAACACACAAAAGCCAAAACATAAAAAAGAAAGAAAAAAAATCAAAGAAAAATCAATATCAACGACAAGCGTCAGACAAAAAACAACAAAAAGTAAAATAAGATGACAAATTTGCGGACGTAGTAGAAAACAGTTCTCAAGTTATTTATTAAAAAAAAGAATTATAACCTAGTTAATGACCTCGGAAACTAAAAAATATAAATAATAACCTTTCAGTTTATATCTATTGGAAACGTGTACTAAACTTTACAACAGGTTGTTGTCAGTCAATTAAAAACATGTTAGCTTTTCAATAAACCAATTTTCCCAAAAGTTAAGCAAGAAGTAGTTAGAGATCAAAAGACTTGCTAACAATTTAAATTAAATGCCAGTTTCACACAATTCAAATGAGTAAGCTTTTATTCTCGCCCCCCCCCCAGTAAACTAAAATTAACTAAAATGTATGAAATTTATCTGTATCAAACACATATCCATTTCTACGAAAATGTTCACATTAGAATGTCTATTTTGAGACAGAACAAAATCCACAGAAAAATTAACTTGTGCACATACAAAAAAAAAAAAAAAAAAAACTATGTATGTAAACTGCAGTTTAAAGTTTTCTCAAATTATTGGGAGATTATTTACTTTATCAATTGCGACTGACTAATTAGTAACGCTGTTGTCACTGCTTGCTAAAAATTTTCACATGCAGAGAGGGTGGCAACAGTGGGGGGCAGCGAGGGGGACAGAGAGAGTGGCAGCAGAGAGGATTATCGAAAAATGAATATATTAGATCAGCTCTTCTTAAACTATTTTTTATTTATGACGAGATTTTTTTTCTCGACCCCAGGTATTAACCAACTACCCGTAAAAATACATCCGTTGTCCCTGCCAGAGTCGCAACGGCACGCGCATTTTATTAACGTTTCGCATCACGTTAAATATTGGGCGTTTATGAAAGAACATAGGGAGTGAAATTCAAGTGCTTAAATTTAGTTTTCGCCACCCCAGCATTTCGCTTCGCGACCCCATTTGGTGTCGTGACTCATAGTTTAACAGGTGCTATATTAGATGATAGTAGAATTACCTTCATCTCTGCCACTTCCAAATTCATGTGGAATGATTCGGAAGAGAACTCGTTCCGCCATAATACAAAATACAACTTTTTATAAGGGGAAAAATATCACTAACAGCATATAAGCTTAAGTTTTTTTATGGGTGTATGGTTTTCCGGGTTTAGATAAAAAAAAATTCCAAATACTGATTTTCATGGTTAGTATGGTATCCTAACATTAAAGGCTGGTCTAACGACCTTATTTCTGACTTGACCCTAAAATACTCCAAGCCATGGAACTCAGATTCTTACCAATTTTACCATAGATGATTTGTCACCATGATAATATCGACGTGTTAAGGCGATCGTGGCGTGTGTCACCTTTGGAAAGTTCCTGAAAACCACACCAGCCTTGTGAGTGAAATTAGGTAGACTAAACTGTTTGGAAGCCGTCGATGGTTGTGCTAGTGTAAAGTCACAAGTCATCGTGGCTGAGGCTTTGAGTCTGCTGGCCTTGTTAAAAAATAAATTAATCACGCCAGATTATGCGCTTTCCAAATAAATCTAAATTGCAGAGATTCAGTATAAAACACGTGGACTGTAGGTTGAACTGGCAGGTTAATAATACGGATTTACTATCCCCGCCCATGGCAGACAAGTGTGCTCGAAAACGAGTAGAAGACGGATATATAGCCAACAATACAGAA